AGTCCTTGCCTCTCCCACCCTTCCCCTGTCTGTAGGCACCGCTCCCACCAGAGCTAGTGCTCCAGCGTGCAGGGCAGATGGGGGTGCCATACACCCATGCAGCAGATTTATGATCATCAGGAACAGTTTCCATGTGTGTGTGAGCTCCATTGAACCTGCTCTCCCTCCCTACCCTCTGTCACTCCCATACTTGGGACCATGCCTCTGCCTGCATGACCCTTGGCACCTCTCTGTTAGCAGTCTGAGCCAACCACCCTCTCCTAGATGGTGACCTGAAGCTGAGGGTCCCTGGGAGAGGAACGGCAGCCACAGCTCTGCTCTGGCAGCTCAGACGGCTGTGTGTGCACAGCGCGGTGACTCAGTGCTGGATGTGCAGATGGGCTGGGGCAGCAGCAGAGCTGAATTCCCCTGGCCCCCCGGGGTGGGTATGGGCACAGGTGGGCAAGGACCCAGCCCCCACAGCCCTGGTCAGGTTGGGGCCCCTCTGGTGCAGCACAGGAGTGGGAGAGGCACCGTTCGGGGAGATGGCTGGGACCTCCAGCTGCAATTAGCAGCGCCTCTTGCCAAGCCAGCTCAGCTAACGAGCGCACCAGGGAGTGTGTACGTGCAGTAGGCGGGAGCATGGCTGGGGGGCCCGCTCCCACTCTCCTGGCACCTCACTGGATGGCCCCTTGCCTTTGTGCACCCAGAGACTGGGAGGCCCAACCCATGCCCTGATGGTTGGGACATGTTGGGCAAGCGCCGTTGGTACCAACTTGCCAGCTGCAGCCCAAGCACATAGCTCACACCACGGCTCTGCCCCATGGACCCCAAGAGATTCTATGGATGGTTGCAGCCTGGCACTCAGCTTGTTCACACCAAGGCTTTTGCGAAAGCCCCATGGGGAAGGATACAAATCACTAAGGACAGTATGAGCTCAGGGTCCCCCCTCCTCCAGGACAGACAGTAATACTCTTTCCCACTGAGTTCTCATCACAGTGCCTTTGGGCAAAGCCAAGGAGGTGAAAAATCACCTGCAGCGTCCAAGCATCTGATCACAGCACCATTGGGCAGAGACCTTCACACTGCTGTGATACTTTCTCAAGGACGCCATCAATTCACAGGCAATATCATTATTGTCTTCCACCACCACAGCTCAGCAGGCAGCCCCTGCCGTCGCTTCACCCTGTGATCCCTCTGGGACTCTCTCATGCTGCATATGAACTTTATATGCAGGAAAGAAATTTTAGTGTCTAACTTAGTATCTTACTGTCCAGAGTCTTTAGGGGAAGGTCCAAGGGGAGCCACAGTTATCAGGAAGTGGAAGTCTGGTTTTCAGCTTTGGCTTTTCCGTGGGGCTTATGTTCCTCAAGCCCTACTTAGAAATATGCTCAAGTTTTTTCTCTGCATAGGTAAAACCTTATAGCATTGTACCTTAAGGGAGCAGAAATCACTACCAAGGATGGATAAAAAAAGAGGTGAGTACCATGTGGAAGAGCACTGAAAAAGGTCTTTAACACTCTGTAACAATCTGAAGAGAAATCTTATGCCTGTCTGGGGTGAAATAAATGTATGGCATCCCTCTGGACTGTTTCAGAAAGATATTAAGGAAAGAGAGATAGAGTGTGTAAGCTGCATGTCTGAAATGATCCTAGAGCTACCAAATGCCAGATCAGCATTTCAGAGGCACTGCCCTGTGAAGAGCAAATATTGGTGCTGTTCCTGCCCTCTTTCCCTCCACTCCTCAGTCCCTCACATGTACAGGTGGGTTTAAGTGCAGGCAGACAGACTGATGTACCTGTGAAAGGCTTATTTGAAGGGCTTCTCAAGCACGAGCCCTTATTATTATACAACTGACTGCCCCAATCACTCAGGAAGAAAAAGCACTCTAACCATACATGAAAATGTTGTTTCAAAAATAACAAGACAGTAAAACACTTGAGCTCAGAGAGAGGGTGAATGGGCAATTCTGGCAGCCAGGACGGGCATTCAAGCTGCTCTTCCATGGGCGAAGGACCTGGATGGGGGGCACAAAGGCCATGCCCCTTGCAAAATGCCCCAAAAGCCATAAGTCCCTGCTTAGCTCATGAGTCAGCGTGTGGAAAGCCCAGCAGAGGTGTGACCATCTTCCTAATTTCACCGGGAAGCTGCAGGGCCCCTTGGCCACGCTTCTGCCACCTGAGACCATTTTTGGGGAGTCAGGCTACATTGCACTTGCAAGCCACCACAGTGCAAAGCCAGGGATAGACCTACTTAAACCTCTGCTTTCAAGGTTTCACTACAACCCTGCCCGCAAGCAGCTATTCCCAGGTGCTCTTGCATTTCCCACTGAAACAAAAAGAGATTGGAAGTTTATTTTCAAGCCAAGGCAAGGCTAACCCTCAAAAAGCACAGAGCAAACCCCACCGGGCTGCCCATGTTTACTGCCTGGTGCCTATGCCCAGAGAGCAGACGTGCTCTCTACCCACCTGACGAGCTGGCAACCCTCGCTAGCTCACAGCATAGTCCGCAACAGCTACTGCCACTCTGCTATACATAGAGCTCCTTCCCCTGTACATAAAAAGTCCACTCAGAGCTGCACTCCCATGGGAGAGGAAGAAAGAAACAGAGTGATTTAGAAGCCGAGGCTCCCACTGTGCTGTTCACCAAGTGATCCCTGTTATTTTCATTTCCTGATTCCCCAACATGACACCTTCGCCACATGTTATGAGCTTTCTTATGCTGTCCACTGTAACATATCTTAACAGAGATGGTACTGACGTGGATCCAAGGGATCCAGCTGAAGGACAGGGAGGAGGGCTCGTGTAGCACCAGCACAGTGCTCGTATGGTGACAGACTACAAATCACTTGGGTTTTTATGAGAAGCTCTTTAAGATAGGAATGAAGGGCTGTGTCTGCCTCTCTGCACTGTCCCTGGACCATGCAGAAAACTCTCTCTGGACCATGCAGCTAGCTGGTAGTTAAGGACACTGCTGTAAAAGGTTCAGCTTCAGCTCATCGTCCTGAAACACGCCATCCTTTTATCTAACAAGCAGGCATCAGCAGTGGCAGGGGAAGAGAAGGAGGTGCAAAGACTGCTATGGGGAGCCCAGCCCTGGCTCCCAGTTCCCTGAGGAGCTGCCAGCTGGAGCTGTGATTGATGCTGCGGCGGGTGCAGCCCTTCTCTCAGCAGGCAGCTGCCTCATGCCCAGCCGACGTGCGGAAACCTCTTTGTCCTGGCAGCTAATGAGCAGATTGTATTTCACAGTGCCGCGGCCCCGCGCAGGTACAGCCAGCGGCTTTCATCTCCCTGATAGCTCCCACGGGAAAAGAGCAGCCACCGTCCTGCAGAGCAGGTCATGGCCCGGTCTCGTTGGGCTTTGTGGAGTTCATAGCTTTTGAACCCTTCATTGGTTTGCACCTGCCCGTGGCTCTTTTACAGCACAGGAATGGAGGGAAAGGTTTGGGGAAGTACCACTACAGTTTGTGCAGGAATATGTGGGATCAGCACTGAAGGAGCATGGGAGAGTGAGGAAACAATCATGATGGAGATTGACATCTAACTTATTGGGAGACTTATCTTTAAAACAACAGCAAAATCCAGTTTAAAGACTTTCATTGTGTTTAACAGCCTCAGGTTTATTCCTTTAACTCCTTCCCTGGCTTTAATCCTGTTCCAAACTACATGCCTGCTCCAGCCACTCTGAGGCCACTGCACACTGTGCTGGCAGAGCTGGCCATGGGCCACCCTCTGACCTGCTGTGCTGGGAGAGCCAGAGCCACCCACTGCCCTTGTCCACAGAGCAGGCAGATGTTGGCCTGCACCCGGGAGCAATCCAGGGGGGCCCTGAAGCCTTGGGGAAGGCGGAGATGTGGTTTGGCCAGGGAAATTGGCTCTTCAGAAGAAAGCCATCAAGTGCTTGCTGCAGGCTCAGATTCATTTAAAACAAAGCTTAAAGTCCCCAAGACTTCCCCCAGCCCGGGCCCCCAGATCTGGCAGGTATGCTTGCTGGAAGGCTGCATGTGTGAGCAGACCTAGGTGCTCCACGAGATACCCAGAGCAGCACAGGCAGGGGACCATGCTCTCCTGCTCACTGGTTTGCTCTCCAGAGCCAAACACCATGCCATGCTGGGAGGGTTAGCAGAGACCTTGTGTCTCATCAACACCTCCTGTGTCCACCCCAACGCTCAGGGATGCTGTCACAGGGATGCCATTTTCATCGGCCAAGTAGGTAGAGCTGACTGAGACACAGCTCCCTCAGCCTCTGCTCCCCTGCAGCCACCCGCCAACATCCAAGCACAGCATCAAAGGCAAGTTCAGACTGTCAGAATTGTGCATCTCTCCAACAGGGATCCCCAGCCCGCCAGCAGCGCCTGCTGGGTCATGGACCCATAAATCCCTTAAAGTGCAGATGCAGAGCACCCAGCTGCTCTGCCAGGCACTATGCTTACAAGGCAGCATATTTACTAGCCCCAACGGGAAAAGGAAACCTGCTACTTTTAACAGGGTTTTTCATTATCAGCACCATGTGTTCTGAGAGTTCCCTTCTGCCCAGGTGCTTCTGAAGAGTGAGGGATATTGTGTGGCACTGGTGAGGACTGCTGCTCACTGTCAAGCTAGGAATGCCTTTCACCTTCGTTTCTAGAGATCTGAAATCGAGTGCTGAGGCTCTAGTCTGGCTTCCCCCAGGCCAGCTCAACACTAGAGATCCGATTGTGTGCCCTATGCTATGTGTGATGGTCCTGCCATATATGTCCCTCCAAATCCACAGTCTGCACTGCCCCCTCTCAGTGGCATCCGCCTCCCTCCTGTGCTACCAACCCTGGACACTAGATGAAGTTTCAGAGGTATCGCTCTCCCATCTGCCACCAACATGTTACACTTGACATGAACTAATGTCTTCTATTAACACTGCAAAAAACAGATCTGGAAAATTCATTTTCCAGCAGAGTTCAGAGAGGCCACAAGGAGAGAATTGAGAATCCCCCCAGATGTGCAAGGAGAAGCCAATGCCAGCACAATGCCCCTGGGCAGACCTACCGGCAAGGGGTTAAAGTTCTGGTCCACCAGGTGGTTGTGGCCATGGTCGAGGAAGGAATGCCGCACCACCACGTCGATGCCCTGGCTGGCCAGCAAGCCCAGTGTGTTCAGCCACCTGGGGACAGAGTGAACAGAGTCAGGGCACCATGGAGGGACCACCATGGAGGGATGACCTGGCCCCAGTGGCACAGCCACTCTCATGCATCTGACCTGATGTCTGCTCCAGCACCTGAGCTGAAGCCTTCAGATGGTTTCGTGAGCTGGGTATTAACCAGCTCTCACTATCCTTGCCCTGGAAAACCTGCATGCCCCACTGCAGCCACCTCTGCCTCAGCTGTGCTCAGCTTGCATGTCCCAACACCGCTCCTGAGCCCCTGCATGCATCCCAACATCTCATCCCTGTGCCCAGAGCCCAGGGTGTTCCCACAGCCTGCCAGCACTCTACACCCACTATCCGAGGGGGGCAGACTGGACCTTTGCACCAGCCTGTCTTCTCACAGCCCCTGGGACAGGTCTCCAACCCTTACAGCCCTGGTATCCCACGCATGTCCCTGTGCAAAGCCTGGATAATTTTCCTCCATCTTTTTTGATCATGGCCAGTGCTGAAGATCCGAACTGAGGCTTTGCAGTAGTATGTCCAGGCCATGGGACTGTACCAGTAGACGAGTCCCAGGAGCCAAGAATGGTTGTATCTTCAAAGGAGAGAAAACAGTTTCCAGAGCTGAGCCCTGACATTCCCCCTGAGCCCTCTCTCTGGGCAGGTGCCCTGGGGGTGAATGCATGCAAAGATGAGTGGCTGCAGCCTGAATCAAAAACACAGAGTGGGAGCAGATCCGGGCAATCCCAAACTGCTGAGGCAAGCCTCTTGGGATGCCAGCCCTGGGATGCCACAGCTGGCATTCTTGGATCACACCTCTTGTCCATGCCCATGCCCTGCAGGCATGGTACCAGTGTGGGATTTAGTGTACTTCCCTCCTTACTCTGCTTCTCTGAGTATGCCAGAGGCTGGATCACCTACAGGAAAGCAGGGCTGAGGAGGGGTAGTAGGGATACAGCGGAGAAAATAACAATACCCAGCCTGCCAGGGACTACTAAGGGGGGTTCAGGTGGGCATGGAGCTTGCCCTCTGTCAGCTGCAGTGGCTTTGCAGCACCTGAGCCTGGTGCTGCAGCCCCGCCAGAGTGGGGGTGGCAGTGCCCTGGTGCTGGCAAGCCAGCGTCACTCACAGGAACCCGGCCGCATAGGAATCGGAGAGGTTGTTCATGCCTCCGGCTGAGGTTGTGCCAACACCTTCCAGCCAGATCTTCTTCCCTGGTGTGTACGTGTTCACTACCTGCACAGGAGACAAAAGAAACCAAAGTTGTTCTGGCGCACTTGTGATTTAAAGCCAAGGCATACATTTCCTGTCCTACACCCTAGGAAGACTTATGGAGGCCTTTGGTGATGGTGCTGCTGGGCAGTCAGTGCCTGCCTGGCCCTGGCATGTCACTATGTGTCTTCACCATAGTTTGGTGATGGGAGACTATTCCTCACTCTCTCCTGCCACTGCCACATAGCCACTACCCATCTTCTGGAGCTCTTCCAAACATGCCCTCCCAAATGTGCTCTCATGCTCCCAGTCCCGGACCCTGCTCTTCCCTTATAACCTCCCTATGCACTCCATCCCATATACTGCCCTCCCATGTCACATTAGCTCTGCATATCCCCATGCAAGGTGACTGCAAGTCATGGGGAGCCCCCGAGCTCCAATGGCTCTGCAGTGTGGGAGCACTGGGTTGTGTACTGGAGCTACAAGGAGGAAAGGCAGACACCCAAAGAGAAAGCCGTGGGATTCCTCTGGGCATGGATAGTCGGTCCCGTGGCTGAGCAGGGGCTTCTTTGCCGTCCGAGGGGTCCATGGCACAGGTGGGACATGCAGATCCGAGCATGCTGGGCCACCCCTTACAAGGCTTCAGCCAGCAGTGCAGACACCTGTGAGATGCCAGACGGGACAGCAGGGCTCAGATGGCCAGAGCTGCCCTCTCCTGGCATGAGCAACCTTCTGCACCACGCAACACCCTGTCCTCTCTCTTACAATCCCTCTTCCCCAGGCTGGGTGACAAACTTCTGCGACCAGATGTCTGCGAACCCAGAGGCCCCAGGAATGCTCTGCGCAGCCTGATGGATCCTGCCCCATTAGTGAGGAGCGCTGGAATGTGCTGGATGGACTGGGATCCCTCAAAGATGTTAAATACGCCAGCTCTAGGCTGCCTCCCACTCACAGCCTGTGAGAGTCGACAACCCTGACTGAAGCCCCAGAGGTGTTGGCATCCTGCCTGTAATTATCTAAGCCCGCCACCTTCCCCGGTCGGAGAGGAAGCAATAAAACAGGGAAGTGGACAAGTCCAGCTGCTCTAATCAGCCCCGGCAGGATGCACGGACTCAGAGCCAAGCTGGAGGCTATTAGCACCCAGTGCTGTGCTTTTGCTCAGCCACACTGGCATTCCCAGGAGAACCCTTCCCCAGCCCTGCCCTGTGCAGAGCCAATTCTGCCTCGTGGGTATGAGGGTTCCCTCAACCTGCATCAAGGGCAGCTCCTTCCTGCTTCTGGTCTGGGGATGGATGGGGTCCCACTCCCTTCCCAGCAGGTTCCTGACCTGCAGCAGAGGTGGGACACATGCCACCACTTTTCATGTGGCATTATACTCTCAGAGGAAGCAGGGTCAGCTGATGTCTCTCACTTGCCCCACAAAGATCCCACTGACCACCCTGCCATGCCTCCCAAAAGCAGGAGGATCATCCACATACATGGATGATTCCCAGCTTGTGCCAGAGGACTCAGAAAGCAGCTCCTCTCCTCCAGCTTTGCTGCGCCGACCCTCTCATCCCCTTTCCCAGGGCCTCTTTCAGTTGTTTACTCATTCTATGGTTTCTCCCTGCAGGAATTACAACAGTGAGACATTGTGGTGAGTGGTATGATTTGAAAACCTAGACAAGACAGATGGACGGACACCTCCTCTAGTCCCTAAAGCCTTTCCCACTCACTAGGTGTTCCTTATTTCTTCCAGGACTGACAGCTGAGCGTGTCAGTCACAGCTCTGGCCCCCATATCAGCCGAAGCAGGGAGACCCTGAAAAGCCCTTGTCACCTATCCCAATGTTAGAGATGTGAGCTGGGTCCCCTGGACCAGTGGGGAAAGGAGCGCTCACTGGCCAGTCAGATCTATAGACTCTGACACCATATGTCAGCAACAGCTGGGTTTTATGACACAGTCAAAACATGATCATCAGGGAAAAAATACAGTTGTTCATAATGGTCATGAATCTCCACTAGTGAGAGTCACTCTGGGAATGCAACTGTCACTGCTTTGCAAGCAACATTTTCAGGCACTGTGAACAAGTGGGGCAAGATATGGCAGTAGGAGACCCCTCCTGAGCAAGCTGGGCACCGGCGGTGCTTGGGATGGTTTGGTACTGCCTGACTGCTCACTCATCCCCTTGTCCCGGGGAGCCAGTTTCAGAGAACACCCTCATTATATGCTGTTCCCTTCAGGAACAGACAGATGGGACACTCAAGCCAGTCAGCTGCCTTAGCAGGGCTTTGCATGCTGTCTCTGCCCCTGCCCTGTGCTTCCAGCCTGTATCCCAGCACACCTGCACAGCCCATGCTGTGCTGCAGCACGTGGCCGCTTCCCTCACAACCTGCCACACATCCCACCCTGGGGCCAGGCATTGTGCTGCCTGGTCTTTCCCCCCATCCCTGCATGAGGGCTGTCTGCATTTTGGCTGGGAGCACAGCCACCCCAGCAGCCATCCTCCATCCTCCATCCCCACCCCACACCAGCTCCCCTGGTAGTGCATCAGTGCTGAGCCCTGTACCTGACTGTGAGCTGTGCCATGGCCAGGCACCACAGGCACAGTGTCCCCTCACCCCTGCAGACCCTTTCCACTCACGTACTTTCTGGATTTTCCTGATCTGGTCAGAGAGTGTGTCTAACAGGCGTGTTTTCAGGAAGTCCGTCACTTTGGCCACCCGACCATCAATGTAGTAACTGGAAGGAAAATAAAAAGATGAGGATCAGACAGCTGGGAGTAGCTCTGCCCCAAAACCATGCCCTCCTTTCCTGCTGCTGTACCACACCAAGAAGCCTCCTTTGCTCTGGGGGAGTCTCTGCTTGCACCCTGTCCTGCCCTGGCCCTTCAGCCCTGCCTGTGTCTGGCAGATGCTTCAGTATCCAGAACAAGGCATGAGGTGGACGCACCCTAAATGCTGAGCATCCTGCACTGCAGGAATCATGGAAAGTTTTGCAATTTCTTAACTTTTGCTGGTGAAATTCTGGGAGCAGAATGCCAAAGGCTGGGAGCAAAATGCCACCTGCAAAGGCTTTGCAGCCCCCTCACACCATCTGCACCTTTCTTGCTTGCTCTTCCAGCAAAATCTGCAACTGATTCCTCCACTCAAGAAATGTTGTGGCTGTTACCTGCAGAGGAAATCCTGCTCTCACAGAAATACCTTCTGGCCTGGGAATGCCAGGGAGCGTTTCCCATACATGGGGATTATTCCTGCTCTCCATGTGCTTGCTTACATAAAGCATAGCTATAGTGCTGCCCATCTCTATGTGAATCATCTAAGTGTGAGTGGAAGGCTTTGGAATGCCTCAATACTGCCTCCTGGCTCCAGGCCATAAGGTGAAGCAATCTGTCCCAGAGCGCACTTACCCTGTGGCTAGAGGTAATCCCAACCTGCTCCTTCTGAAGAAGTGTCTTGGGCTGTCATCTCTGCCCCATGCAAGCAGCAGTGGCAGGTTTTGCACATATCCCAGAGGCTCCTCCCAGCCTTGTGGGTACCCCAGGATGCCTGCTACAGCGTGCACTGGCACACCCCCCGGAATGATGCTTTAGCTGATAAATAGGTTTTGCAAGAGAAGCTTTCTGAACCTTCTCCCAGTTCTGCAGTGTGCATCAGCTGCTCAACACAGCTAGCCCCAGAGCATGTCAGAGCCATGTTGGGGGGATGGAGGGTTCCAGGAATTACAGCACCTGTGACTGTGCTGGTGGGGCTCAGTCATTGCCTCCCATCTCTCACTGGAGCTACATCCACTCGGAATTCACCAGTTACACAGACCCTTTTCCTTCTCTGCAGACCTCAGTGCAGCCATGAGTGTTAGGATACGTAATGGGCTAAAGATCTGGGGTCTGAAGAAAAGTGAATTCACCTTTCCAGGGCTGCTTTCTCCATAACAGGCATCTCATCTGCAATGGTGAGCAGCTGTAGCAGTCGTAGTGGCTCCTTCACTTGGGTGCTGGAATGCAGGAGCATCCCAAAGGATGCTGTGGGCTAACTCAGCCTCAGCCAGAGCACCTGGCACATGTGCAACATGCACAAGTGCTCAGAGAGGATTTTTATGTCTCGCTGCTCCAAGTCACTAACTGTCCCAGAGCAGAATTGCATTACAGGCTCAACTTGCAAATGCATTAAACAAGAAGAACCTCCCCTGTCAACCCTCCCCCAGGTGTGCGGTCCCAGCTGCATCCCCAGAGAAGTACAGAAACATGCCAGGCACATGCCAACACTGTGTAACCGGGGAAGGAGGCAAGAGCATATCTGTATGTCCTTGGTGACTGAAAGGTGCTAAGGGCAGATATTAACTCCAGGGAGGATTTAGGAAGCGTTCAAAATAATTTTGATCACTTACACACAATTGAACCACTGGCTGCCGGGAGGAAAGCAGATCTGTGAGCAGCAGGCAGTGGTGGGGTTTACACAGATTACTTTTTAAGACAAAATTACAAAGCAGTGGACTCTGGGGAAGGCAGATGTTTGGATTTTAGCACGGTACTTAAAAACAGAACAGAAACTATTTTTCAGACTGCTGTGGACTAAAAACCCCATCACCTGGGCCAAAAACTGGCTGAAAGGCAATAAAAGGGTTGCATTGACAGGTAAAAGATGGAGTTAGAGTTACCTCAGTTTGTGTATGACCTGTCCAATACATCAGGCTTTGTGCAGGGTTTAGCTTGTCAGCACAAGCCAATATGGTCTTGGAGACCAGGATAAACCCCTTGGAGAGTAAAGACAGTCCTATACCTCCTCATTACTTCATTCAAGCACAAGGTGTTCTCTGACCTACAGCTCCACTGCCAAGGGGAGAGGACCAGGAACAGCCCCAGAGGTGCCTCTGCCCTCCAGGGGACCACATGGAGGCAGCCTGGGAAGGTGCTGCTGTGCTGAGCACAGCCCAGACCCTACAGGGATCAGAAATACCTGGGGATAGTGCCACGGTCACATTCTTTTGACAGCTTCATTAACAATGCAGAGAAACAGAGACTGGTAGAGGCATGAAGGGCAGAAGTAAACCTGCTTCAGTCTCAGGAAATCTTGGTGGCCTATCTCCTGGGAGAGTGAGGAGGGGAACACCTCTGCTTCACGTATTTAAGCAGATCATGAAGGCAATTACAAACTTCAGTAAGATGGCAAGGATCTCTTGCAGATCTGCCTGGTGAGTTCTTGGTCACCAACAGGTACTTTCAATCTCCTCAAACTGGGGAAGAGGGAAGATGGCATCAGTTGCACATGGCTTGCAAGGAAGAGAGAGGAACTGAGGACTGCAGCGATACCTGGCTATTCAGGAATGGGTGAGCTGTTTCCAGCTGTAGGCTTCAGATCGTTGAGATGAGGGCACATCCTTTTGGAAACCTTAACCATCAGTAAAGGCAGTATACCAATCCACAAAATGCAAACAACTGTCAGGCCTTTAAAGCAGGAGAAGAGCTCATTAGGCGTGGATTATTCCCAGGAGCAAAGACTGCAGCTTTGCTGATATTTACAATGACTCAGTGCACTTGACTTAAAAAAAACACCCCTAAAACAGTCACAAACTCTTCAACCTCCAAAAAAGCCAGCAGCAGCTGCAGAGAGCTCCAGTGCTGACAAGTACCTCCCCAGGCAGCCAAGATGAGCCAGCCCCAGGGGTCACGGTATCCACAAGCTCCTCTCCTGGTCCGGCAAGGTCTGAGTGCCAAAGGACATGAATGGACACATCCTTCCCAGCACAGGCAGGAGTCTCTGGCAGCTGAGGCTCTGCAGAGGCAGAGGACATGTAGCTCATGGAAAATCTATTCATCTCCAACACAGGCTGACAGACCTGTCAGTGGTCTGGGTACGGTGCAGCACCAGAATTGGCCCCAAAGCCTAGGAGACATCAGCATGCTCACCATGGGCACTGGCTATGCTGCACACAACTCCCCAGTGACTCCCAGAGAAGGACTGTGTCAGGCAGCAGGGCAGGGCATGTGGGCGATTCTGGGGCTGGCTACATGTCTCTGTCCTCTCACCTCCAGGTCTTGTGCTGCATTTAAAATGGTTTTCTGGAAAGATCTACAGTTTGCTGCATGGGACCAAAAAGCATTGCCCCGCATATAATGAAGGCAGTGCACTGATTCTTGGGCAGCTGGTTTCATTTACTTTCTCCTTCATTTTAAAGAGAAACCTTTGCCCCTATTATCTGACCTCTTCTTCTGTTGCAGTTAATTACATTAAAGCCCACTTCCCAAAGCTCAGGAATTTCCGGATCTACTTTGTTGCTTGCTGCTACAGGGAGAGTCTGCTAGGAATTAGAGCACCTGCCTGCTGGGGTCGCTAAGGAGGGAGGATCCCCACCTTTGGCATGACACCCTGCAGCCACTACAGCTGTGAAAATGAGACACCTCTGCTGACAGATGGCCCTGATCCATGAACATCTTCGCAAGGAGAGGGCAGAACCCCCATACGCAGCACAGGACATGGGGCTGCCCCACTGCTCCCACTGGAGAGGAGAGGCAGAATGCGCCAGTCAACTAGTAAGTGCACTGATGAAGAAAGACTGGGGGCTGCTCTCTGGTCCAAAGGCACAACTCACAGTCATGCCTTTCTCTGCCCCCGGACAACATCCCTTTGCCTCTCCTACCACTGGGAGCCAACCCTGGCCCATGCCATCTGCCCAGTCATGCTCTGGCACTGCCTGGGACTGTGCTGGTGGCCCAGGCCATGATGCTGCCAGGGGCCGTTCCCTCCATCAGACAGTGAAGAGGATGAAAGTCCAGTGGGCAAAGCTGTGGCCTGACCAGGTTTATTTACAGGTGGAGATGAGTCAGGAATTCCTTCATCCAGCTCCTTCCTCCAGGCACAACCTCTGAAGACACTGCACTCTGAGCTCCCAACAGGCTGATGTGAGCCCATATATATACCCTTGGTATATGCATTGGTGTGTGTGCACACGCTGGGCAACTGGAACCTTTGGGAAATCTGCCCTATGCTACTGCCTGTGAGCATCTCCATCTGCATGTTCAACATGACTAAGTCAGAAGTCACCCAAACCAAGCCAGCCAAAAGCATTTTAAGCAACATCTCACACATGCCTGTGTGTCTGGCATTTCTGATTTGCCACATAGGGCAAGTGACTTTCTATCTTGGAAGAAAACATGGCATTCTCAAAGAAGCCACAGGAACAGATGTCCACTGACTTTGAAGGTGCAAATATTTGCTTTGCCTGTAAGTAGTAGGCATTTGTGCTTCAGAGGCAGCATTGCATAAGGATTTACCCATTAAATATGCCAAACCCAGAGTTCTGTGCAAGACTTCAAATGGAAAACCAGTTGTATGGACTGAGGGAGTATGCTCAGGGCGGAGCTGCAGCTTTAAGTGGGCAATGAGTCTTCATCATGTGTGAGGACACCAGCGCAGAGCAAAGAGATGGCTGTGGGGAGGATTCTGAGCAGTGGAAACCCACATCCAAACGTTGAGGGGGTCTGCAGTTACTCATAATCAAACATAACAAACGAAATCACCAGTGAAATGACAAAACTCTTGGAGCCACTGTCACAACCTCCTCTAGTGTAATTCCCTGAGCACTTCGAAGCTATTCACACACCCCTCTACAGCAACGCTTTACTTCTGAAGGAAGGCACATATGCTCAGTTACTTATCTAAGTGAAACCATATTCAGAAAGGCTGGTGAGGCTGCTTATTTCCACCCAGTGTCTCTTTTCTGTCAGATATATTTCAGATAGATTCTATTTTCACACAGAGAACAGGGATCCCTGCAATATATTCCCTTCTCAATTCCCTTTCTGGATGCAGCACAGACTATTCAAAGGAATAACAGATTTGACAAATTTATAACCAATATCCCAGGAGAATGTTACGGTTTGGAACCAAAATATTCATACTTGAAGTTAGACAGCAGTTTAGTTTCCTGCTAATAATTTTCTTCTTGGATACAAAGGAACTTGTTTTGTTTTGTTTTGCTGTTTGGAGCAGAGGGATGAGACACTGTTTTGACATTTATTCATAAACAGTACAGAAGCCCAGCTCGAAGCTGTGGCTATTGCCAGTCCACACAATCGCATACGGGTGCAATCTCCAGAGCTGCAAACCCTGGCTGGGGGAGAAGCGGCTCCTATGCTGCAGTGGAAATGGGTAGCAGGCAGCAGCTCATCTCTGCCGACCCTCGTGGGGAGCTGCACCAGTCCTCCTGCTCACAGGTTGCTGCTTCAGCGTGGCTGCTCAGCACCAGAGCCTATCAGCACTTCCCACTGATCCTATGAGAAAAGGTTTCAAAGCAGCCGTGCAGGCAGATTCCCTGCACACCAGATGAAACTCCACATCTGAAGCCTGGAAGTTTGTTCCTTTAACTCATCCAAGGGCTTGGCCCAGTGATCAAGTCTCATTGCAGAAAAAAATTCCTGGACTAAGTAAATGCGATCAGCACATCGTGTAATCATGAAAAGCAAACTCCCAGCAGAGAGATAGATCATCATTGCACAGCATGAGCCTGTAAGTAACACAAATTCTGCTCAAAATCCTCTGCTACCCCACTGTTCCCATTGCAGCAAGCTGCTGCTGCCTGGCAGGAAAGCTCGAGGAGCTAAACACCCAAGCAAGCAACATCAAGGCAAGCCAAGCTCCAGGAATGGGACTTACTGGGTGCTGGTCATGCCTGAGGCTATAAACCACCCTGAGATGCCAACAGATGCTTCTACAGGAGCCTCCAAGGTTAACACACTGACACGCAGACCATGGGTGCACTTTCAAGAAAACCTCATATCTTAAAACCCACCAAGCTCTATTTAAGAGCAGGTCTCCAAAAGGCCTTTACAAGAGGTGGACTTTACAAACTCTGCTGCTGCACTTCAGCAAGGCAACCCGAGCACCCCATGAAGGGTCACTGTGAAGAACCAGCTTGGGTGGGCAGCACACACAAGCACAACTTGGACCTGAGACCCTGGCTCCCATGCTCAAGGCCAGTGTCCTGCATAGGAAGTTTAACCCAGCATGGCAGCAATTCAGTTTTTCTGAGAACAGGGTGGTCTCACCACAGTTTTTTTGGTCCAGTGAATCCTTGTCCCTGAAATGTGTCCGAGGCAGGAAAGAGTCCTGCCTGCCCCACAGACACTTTTGCTATCAGTTTCGGTGGTCAATGCTGTGCTTGCACACTGCCTCATCTTCGCACTGACATTTGCACTCCCCCTGCAGAGAGTCACAGCCTGCTGGGGACCCTACCTCTGGCCACAGCATGTAAATTGGGGCAGGTAGAAATAAGAGGAGGAAAGAGATATTTACGAATTTTCCCTCAAATAAGAAAACCTTTTCCTCTACTTTGTGCTTGTTATATCCGAGCTACAGCTCAGAGTTTTGATCTTCTGAAGTGCAGCACTTGTAAGAAACAGAAGGAAAGTCAGGTATAAGCATCTCTCTGTCAGCCCCAGCTGGGCCAGGATCTTCATCCCCTTTCCATTGATATTTGCTCCTGGGGCTCCACCTGCAGTGTAGGACACAGCTGTGTGTCTGTGGACACCCTTACAAAACAGAAAGGGGACTGGGGCATTATATATGAACACTGGACTGAGCTGAGTCTCCCTCCTCTGGATCAACCAGTTTAGCTTCATGCCAGCAGGCATGAGGAGACAGTGATTGGGGTGAATGGAAAAGGGCTTTCAGATAGTCCCATGCATCTGTCACATGTGGCTTTTGCCTTCCTGTTTTCCCTACTCAGGCCACCCTCAGAGCTGCCTGCCCTCCTAGCCGCCTCCAGGGACTTGGCAGTCCAGTGCAGAGCCCTGTTTCCAGCGATCTGGCAAGCCAGGCATGCAGGCAGTGTGTTTTTAGCCTGTGTCTCAACTGCAGAGGTAAAGATTAACACATCCACTCCTGTAACTGTTTGAGAGGCTCGAGAAGGAAGGGCAGAGCCTCTTTCACCTATTTAAATGCAGCAGAAGAACAGAGGAGGTGGCCGTAGCACATCTGCCCCCTTTGACACCCAGAGAGGGCATGAGCTCTGTCCTCAGCATCTGCAATCACTACACTTAGTGTTGGAAAGTAGAAGGAATGGTGAATACCTACTGTTGCCAGGTAACAGCATCCACTGTGCCTCCAGCCACTTTCATGAACCTATGAGAAACAGAGGAGGAAACAACATAAGCCCAGTGTTGTCACAGGGGAAATCCTTAAAAAAACCAATGCCCATCCTACATGACGGGATACAAAAGATGGCAACTGCACCCACAAATACTTTCTAATGAAGCCTTTGTGTTCTTGAACGGAAGGAATAAATTCTACTTAATACAAATGCTTGTAGCAAGCACAGCAGAGAACAACAGAGTGAAACCCAACTTGCAGCCGAGCTCTGGGCATCATTTTGGGGCAGGTAGAGAGAGCTTTCAGACAGCATTTCAGGAACAAGACCTTGAGGCATGTACTAAGTTCTATGACTTTAACAACTCTCAATAGCAATTAAAGAAGAAGTTTTAAATGTCCATCTTAAAAGCAGATACTTCTTCCCCTAAAGTGTCTTTAAGCTGAGGAGATATTTGCCTGGATTAAAGCAAGGACTGGAAAAATGGACTAAAATGGAAACAAAACCCAGCAAAGCTATTAGATGCAAAAGTGCCACCTCCAGCTCAAGAAACTCCTGAGTTCTGGAGGAAGGGAGCAACAGCTGGACAAATACTGCTAAATGCTTTCCTTTTTTTTGACTCTTTCTTTGGCATTGGCTATTAGCAAACTGATGGGATTCTGACCTGGGTGCACTTTTGGTTTGTCCCATTCCTATAACTGATGACAGCACTTCAATGGACAAAGCTAAAGTGAGTTATTATCTAGGTATTAGTCTCCTGATGGCTTCTGACTCGACTATCTTTAAGAAATACCCATCTTCCAGACATCTATTTGAGTCAGACTTGAGGCTACACAAGTATACCTGCTTACACTGCTCATCCCAAAACCAAGGCAATTCCTAATCTTGGGGACCATATGTAACCTCTGCAGCAGGAGCCTGTAGCTGCAGGGGTGCCTCCCTGGCTCCCTAGTCCAGCAATCCAAACTGCACCTCAGGAAACTGCAGCTCCCACGATGAAGCTCAATCAGTTCTTATATTCTTATGTTTAGGGGCACAGATTTGAGAACACATAAAGGCACACACTGACTGGACAGGCACGTTTTCTGTGCACGAGTGCAACGTGAACTGCATGGCTAATGATTTTGGAAGTGACAGCGTGCACACATGACAGGAGACATTTGCTTGAGCAAGTGAATATGCTGAGAAAGGAAATGATGCTGTATTTTCTTGGGCTGCATCTGATGCACGAGGATCCTGGGAACACAGCAGGAATGTCACTGCTGTCTTGACTCCACAGTACACAGGGATGAGTGGTGTTTGGTCCAGTGACCCCAACTTCCCCAGGAAAGCCCCATGACCAAGGGTGAGGAAGGAAAGGGAAGGTTTGTGAGGAGAGATGAGACCTTCTGTCAGACTAGTTGTCATGGCAGGGACAAGCAGCAGCTTTTCGGCACACGAGCCTCTAATCAGGTCTGAGGAGCAAGCAAGCTTCAGGCTAAATATAGCTTGGAAACAATCATTCTGACTTTAAATTAATGACGATGGTCAATTATAGACTGGGACAAAAGGGCAGCTGAACCCTGTGGAGCATAAGAGGATGCTGGCAAAGGAAGCAATAATAAATCCCTGCAGCCAGAGAGGGAAGAGATACAATTAGAAATGGAAAAACAATAACGTAAACTCCTGTAGCACTGATGCATCCCCAATTCTGCTGCCTAGCAGTGCTGTGAGCTCAGTTCTCAGGCTCTGTAAAAGATGTAAAAGCCTCTCTGAAATGCTTTTACATCTCTCTTGAGGGTCAGGCCCGGAAAATTAGTGGCAGGGCGATGCTTTGGGGACAGTTCCTCTGCAGCTGAGCAGGGCAAGGAGACCAGCTGAACCAGCCCTAGTGCGGCCATAGGGAGATGTGTGAGCTTCCCACAACTCACACTGGGCACCTGGCAAAAAGGGGATTTTGCAAATATTGCTCTGGAGAGGCTGCTGTTGTATAAAACAAAGTCTGCAGAAATATGCCAAAAGAGTCAAAAAACCCAACTCCCAGGTTTTAAATGCTCTGTACAGAGACTGCTGCCTAAAATGTAAGATAGGAAATGTACAAGAGTGAAATAATGAACTCTAAACTGAAATTATGAACACAATTTATATTGGATTTGAAAATCAATATTTTGCAATTGGGTTTGATGATTAGCCCAACTTGCTTTCTAAACTCAAATGCTTTACATTCTGGCTGAAAATAAACCATCCTGGACTTTATTAAATGGTCTCTTTTTATTGAAATTTTTGTAAGATGAAGTTCAAAACTTCCTGATAAATCTTCAAGTCCTGCTTTAGAGATGGAGTTGTTCCTGGAGCACCCCAGATGACTTGGGTAATGGTCTCTACTCTCCAAAGGGAACCTAGAGCAGCTCAGCAGCCAAAAAGTGGTACTGCAGGAACAAGAGATGAAAGCCTAGGGCTGGTGGAGATGCAGTAAAGTACAGGTATCTGAATATCCTCGTTTTAGGAATACAGATTTAACTAATCCCTTTATTCCTCTAGCACCTGTGCTGCTCCATCCACGGATTTTGAGGCCAGTGAAGATCCATACGGTCAAAATGACCAGTGCTAAGACATTTTTATCTGGGACTTCCTGGACTGTGTAATTTCCATGTGTGCAGCACAGAGCAGGCAGCGTGAACCAGACGCTTCCGGGAGAGCTCAGATCCCTGCACATGTGCTGCACAGATGGGCTGGGCTGGCACAGTAAATCTGCCATTTTCCTGCACATTGGGCTCTCCCTCTGAGCACCAATCGACCCTGCAGCGCATGTGCAGTAAATCCCTCCCAGGATCCGTGGGACAAGCTCAGCCCATGCTGTGCAGGAGATAGGGGCAAATGCTGTAGCAATGCCCTGTAATTCAGATGGGTGGCAGCCCCAGGTCTTGCCTGGCTGGATTTTCACATATCAGAAATCTGGATACGTGTGAAAGTCTTCAAAAACAGTCCTCAGAATCTGCTGGGGCAGCATCTCTAGGTGGGAAAGCAGAACACATCAGAGGCACATGGAGGAATAGGAGCTTTGAGTAGGGTGTTTGTGATACTGAGGATGAGAGAAAGTCACTGAGCTTGATAATGGCTTCTAATTCACAGAAGCTAGGTTTAGATTAGATATTAGGAAGAAATTCTTCACTGTGAGTGTGGTAAGGCACTGGAGCAGGTTGCCCAGAGAAGCTGCGGATACCCCATCCCTGGAAGTGTTACAGGCCAGGGTGGATGGGACCCTGGGTAACCTGGTCTGGTGAAAAGTGTCCCTGCCCATAGCAGGGGATTTGGAACTGGATGATCTTGAAGTTCCCTTTCAACCCAAACCATTCCATTATTCTATGATATGTCCATCTCCTTACCCTTGCAGCTGCCCATGTGCCAGCATCCCATGCCACTATTGCTACTTGTGGGGCTCTGTGTCAAGCTAGAACTGAGAAAAATATAATTCAGTATTGCTCAGTCACTCAAACAGTTCACAGTTCTGTCCCAGAAACAGTAATACTAGCAAAAGGTGGGACTTAGCTCACAGGTCATTCATGAACTGTGGGAGAATGGAGCAGAAGGACTGCAACACTACAAGATGATATTGATACCAAAACTCTATATTGGGAAACTGTGGGCCAAATCTGACCTCTTCCAGAGCATCTCCCACAGCCACATCTCCCAGGACCACAACTTTCACTTGAGTTTAGGCAGATCTCTCAAATGCTTCTCCTGTCCTGACAATGCTTGTCAGTCATGGAGCACCTACTGCAACCTTAAGTAAATTGCTCACATGGTTAATTAGCTTCCAAGTGTGTTATTTCTCATATGAATGTGTCTGGCTCCAGCTTCCAGTAACTGTAACTTCCTAGGCCTATTCCTGACTCATTAAAGAGACATCTGCATCTGGAAATCTCTTTTCCATGCAGGTAACTGCAGATAGTCATCCTTTAAATTCAAAAAAAAAAAAACAAAACAAAACACCAAAAACGAAAAGGTGATACTGTAACAAGGAATTGCAGCTGCACAAGGAGACAAGTTGTTATTGCAGAGGTACCCAGGTGATTTAGCATCTCATTGACTCCTGAGTGCTGGACGTCACAAGCATGAGTTATTTCATCTGTTGCTCCCCGGAGAACTACAAAATAACCAGACACCCTACCCCTGGCAAGCCTCAAATGTAGGAACAAACTGGCTTGCCTGTGGTGTCCTTGTGAATCCCTAGAGCTGGGTGGCAGTGATGGGTAGAAATAACTTCATGTTGTGTCTGAATTGGTTGGTGAGGGGCACTAAGGCACAGGCTTCACTTACCAACTCCTTCAGGTTCCAATGGAACAGTCAAATACCTACAGGAGCTGAGACAGGTACTAGACCCCACTCATGCCACCTGCTGCAAAGACTTTATCCTGAAGTGCCATATTTCAGATAAGAATTTCACTCCAGGAATAAGAGTCTGGTGTGAACTAGGTATGAATCTGATGATATATTGTATTCTCCATCTGCTTGGCATCACCTTTCTTCAACCAACCTGATCTATGGTAGGGCTGCACAAGCCTTCTAGCAAAGAGGGTTTTATGTCCTTGGGGGCAGCTCAGCACTCCAGGGACTTAAGTGGGTACTTAAGTGGAAGAGAGAGTTGTTAGCTTATAATCTACCTCTAGCCTCCACAATACCTGTGACAGTGACTTCTACAATGCCATCGCACACCATGGTAACAAGCTTCCTCCTTTCCAAATCTTCCTTCCAAACTGCTTTCTGCACTGTGGACAAAACACCCCATTCACAGGCTTGTGGACCTCAATAACATTCCCTCCAAGATGTCTCTCTTCTGAGTTGAAGGGACATAGCCTATTTAGTCTCTTCTTACATGAAGAAATCTCATACCTATGTGCACATCCTCAGCTCCTTTCCCTGTAACTCTCCTGGTTCTATTATATCTTTTCTGAGATGAAATGACAAAGACTGTAGATGGCAATCAGAATGAAAGTACAGTGTGTACTTAGACAGTACTGTAATCTCATCTATGTCTTTGCTTACCCATTTTGTT